AAAAAATCAAGTTTTTCTTAAAATATTCATCTAGTGATTTTTAGTAGGGTTCCTAGACCTAAGAAACCCTCGAAGTAGTCTTTAAGATGCACAGCGTTGCTCCCACAGGAGCATACTATACGAACTCTGGATGAAAAACCATATTCTAGAGAGAAATAGAGAAAGAGATTATACATGATATATAAAAAAACCATATACAAGAGATAGACATTTTTAACATGATATATAGAAAAAACGTTGTCCTTGAGAGAGAGAGATTTTACATGATATATAGGAAAAGGTCCACAAAAATGTGGGTTAGGGATCCAAGCTTCAAATGTCCATAGTGCATCAGTGTCCACTTCTTTTCTTTTCTTTTTCTTTTTTTACTTCCTTTGTTTTTTTGATCCGCTTGTCAAAGATTTAGAAAGGATCCTATCGTTGTGGGGCGTTCTCACATGTAGGCAATTTATCTACATGATCAATAATCAACACTTGGAAAAAAAAAAACCCAAGAAATAAATAGTGAGAGAAAAAACATGGCTACATAGTTTATGATTAGAGTTTATAAATGAAAGGGGAAAAAGGGAGAGCTGTGAAGGGCCTACGATTCCACCTTCTACGATCACTATCTCTTCCTCCTCCTATTCCAACCAACTCATCTCTCTCTCTCTCTATCTCCTTTGTTTCACTGTCTCTCAACGTTTTCCTTCTCCTTTGCTTCCTGTACCTCTCCCATGCAATTGGTGTGAACTCTTGGGTCTTCCTGCTCATTTATTTGTAGGTGATCCCACTTTTGGCCCATTTATTTTATCATTCATTTTCAGATTCGTTTATTGAATTTTAAATTCGCGCTGTCTTTGGGATAAGGTAAGAGACTGGACTAGCTGTTTGATGGTTGTGTCCGTCACGATCAGCAAATTTTTATAAGACAAAGTTTTTATAGAACCGAGGCGCTTCACAAATTTCAATGGAAGAGATATTTTTTTTTAATGCCCAAATACCTTCAAATTGATCATCTTGAAAGATGCATGAGTATTGGAAAAAAAATAGATTTCAAGTTTTGAAATTAATACATCTTGCAACGTACATCTTGAAAATAGTACATCTTGAAAAAAATAGATTTCAAGTGAATTTTCAAGTTTTCATGGATTTGCTCGATCTACATTACTTTTTAAATTTGAAATTTTATAATTAAATATAAAAAATATATTTTAAGGCTATCACAAAAACTTCCAATGTTGAAACCACATTTCTCGATATTATTTGAAGGTATTTTTTTTTTTTATTCTCTAGAGCCTCAGCTCTATACAAACCGCACCATTATCTATTGGAAATACGGTCTCGTTAATAAAACGTTTTTTGAAATAGAATTTGATATTAATTTTTAGGGAAAATATAATCTTTTAACATAGAGATTGTTAATCTATAAAAATAAATAAATTTTAACAACTACAAATGATATTTTTTGGAGAAAATATCTAAACGGTTGATTTTAGATTTTCTTTGGAAGACAGTTACTTATGGGACCCGATTTTGGTGCGGAGTGTAACAGGTGCAGGTTTGAACACACCAAACAATTTTCCTTATCTATATTATTTATAAAATGCCAATAAAATTGTGTCTACGTGTCAATCAGTTATTCTATTAGAGATGAGAATAGACCTGATCCAGATCCAAAACCTAGATTTCCGATCCTATTCAGATTCGAGTTGGATCCAAAATTTGGATTTTAAATCCGGATCCATACCAAAAATCAGTTCAGAATTGAAAACCGGATTGGATTTGGTGCAGGTGAATAGTAATTCCAATCATATTTGATCTAGATCTTACCTAATTTTTTAAAATAATATATATTATATAAACGAAAAAGCTTATATAAGATTGCAACCTTAAAATGTAGAATTAAAGATGCACCTCAAAAATCCATCAAAAATGTTGTTTTAATGTTGAAAAACCCTCTAGTTGATCGGCTCGACATTGAGATGTATGAATATAGAAAAAAAAAAAAAGAAAATTGAGTCTCAGAAATAGTGCATCTTGCAACATATTATCTAGACCGTTAATTATTAAGATTTTCATATATCTATAGATCTACTTGCTTTTAACCATTTTTAGAGTTTAAAATTTTATAATTAGATATAACAATAGATTTTGAGATAATCTTAAGAATTTTTTACACCAAAATTACATTTTATGATAAATTTTGGAGGTGCGCCTTAATTGGATTGTTTAAAGTTGCAACCTTATAGAAATCACACCCTTATATAAATATACGTATATGTTATCATTTACATATTTATTAGTTTATATATGCAATATATATAATAATTTAACTTTTATAATTGTGTTTTAACTTTATAATATACAAAATTGGAATTGATCTGGATCTGAATTCAGATACAACTATTATCCGAACGGATCTAGATCTGGATCCGATGTATACTTTTTGGATTTGAATCCAGATCTAGGTGGATCCATACCCGATCCAAAAAATTCTAAGCCCTAGCAATCGGGGCATCGACGATTAAAGGGATTGATGCTTCAACAAAACATCCCACCCTCTATTCCTACTATTAACATGTCTAAAAGGAAAAAGAAAAACAAAGGAATTATGGAGCCTTAAGAGCAATGTTGTCAAGTTCACTTCGGAGTTTGTTTCGGTTCGGTCTAAAAATTGAAGCAATTTGGTGCTTCGGTTAATTCTGGGTTTTTTTTTATTATTTTAAAATTGATACTTTTATAATTTTATAAAAAATTAAAAAAAATATTAATAAATAAATTTATTACCAGATAAAAAATATCAAAATATAATATCGAAATGACGGACAACATGGAGTTGTTGGCCTTTCGGAAAAACCTCATCGAAATATTCAAGCCTGTAAAGTAACTTTGGTTACTCACCCTCTTCTTCCTTTCCTTCACCTACAAACCCTAGCTTACTTCTCACTCTCTTCAGCTTCATGCATGGCCTATGCCTAATTACCGGACTCACATGACCGAGTCTTCGAGACCCACTGAGCAACCTTGACCTACGTATCGTCCCATTGCACGCATTGCATCTCTTCCCACAGTGACCGTGCCTTTGTGCCAGCTACTGAGAGCATTATCCCCCACGGTGCCTCATACTGAGCCGGGCTTAATGTATCTAGTCCACAATTCTGAGCCATTTCGATTATCTCCTTCGGAAAGTCGGTGGTGATATCTAGAGTCTGTTTTATGATGAACGCCGGATCCTTCTAAATCTCTAAATCTGTTCACCTAAACTAAGTGTAATCCAAAATCCACACATAAAACATGGCTTCCCATGATAATTACACACCAGATTGCATGGCTGAACATTTCCAACGTGGAAGAGAGTTATTTCTTAAATTTTGTCAAAAAAAAAAAAAAAGGGAGTTATTTTAAATTGAGGAAAGTGAGAACAAATTTATTTTTAAATGAGTGAGAAACGTGGAATATTTTTGCAAGGTTCCAATGTTTGGCAGGGTATCGGTTGATCATCATCATCGATAAAGCTTTTTTCCAAACCAATTGGGGTCTTTTTCTAACTCTCGTTTTTCTAGTGAATTTTTAAGGTGCACCCCCTCTGATGCAAGCATCCAATTTCTTTTATTCAATTTAGAACATTGTTTATTTAATTTAAAACATTGTCTTTTTTGGGTAATTGAGTAAGGATAATGAGCCTCTACCCGTTTTTTTAAATCGTTTTCTGGTTTTAAAATATTTTAAATGAAAATGAAAACCTAGATCTTAGTTGGGGCGCAAGTGGTGCTACCACCACGATCCGAACCCATTTTAATTTAAAATATTGTCTTTTCAAATACATATTAGATGACTGTGATATTTATTTTAATTTTAATGTTTATTTTTATAAATAAATTTCACTTTGGTTAGATAATGTAGCGTACTTCTGCTAGAACACAATATACATATCAAGAAAAAACCTACTTAGTTGGAGATTTTTTTTGAAGGAAAAGTGCACAATGAGCTTTCTCAAACAAAAAAAAACACACACACACACTGAGACTATTTACCCGGTTGTCACAATTGATTTTAATCCTTGGATATAAAATACGGTGCTTGTAATTATTTCATTGACCAAACTCAAAGTTCAAAAAAAATATTCTCGACCTTTATGATACAACCGGAACTATCAGATTTTACAATTATAAATAATTGTGAATTCTTTATAATAAATGGTTTCATTGTATGCATTCCTTTTTTCCAACATAAAACTTTGGCGATCAACATTATCCAGAAGAGTATTTCTAATAAACAAATGAAATTTAATTTATTATTCCCCAAGTACTTAGATCCGACAATCCACAAGCTAAACTGACCATACAATTTAATTTTTTTCATGCACATAGAGTGCGTTGGGTTTTATTTCTTGTTTTCTTTTTGCAAGGTCGCTGACTAGATCGAAGAATTACACCCCCACTATTTTTAGTGAAAGCTTTCCATATATACTGCTCTTTATCCAACCGTCCTTTTTTTTCTGAATAAACGGTTAACATGACCCCAATCACAATTTCAAGCCTCTACACTATTTTAATTTTAATTTTAATTTTTTTATACATAATATTTTGACACCAAAATTTGGGTGTTCATTCCTTTCTTAAACTTGCACCGGTAAAAAATATATAAAAAAATTATTTGTAATAGAATAAAATGACCAAAATGGCCCCTAAATGTTTCAAAGGTATTTTGATCATTGTTATCGAAAATATTTTCAATATACTTCTCGGTGCATAAAAAAATTAAAAATAAAATACTCCGGGGTGCCGAATCTAGATCAATGGTCAGTGGCTCACTTGATCAAAATTGAATGGTTCGATGAGGGGAGTATATATCTTTTATAAAGTAAGCAAAGTATAGAAACTTTTCCCATATTTTTGTTCCTAAAACTAAATAAGATTTTACCCGAGAGAGTAAATAGACAATACGTTCCTGCGAAAGCATATAGGATAGTAGGGAAAAGCATTCAAAAAATTGAAAAACAGATATAACACAAGGAATCAATGAAAGGAACGATACTATTAACACTCCATGACTGTCTAGTATTTCAACATGAGTAAGCCATAGAAGTTAGACAGAGAGAGAGAGGGGACTAAGATGAAATTTATAGGGTGGGGGTACGCTCAACTGATCCTTGAAGCACAGTGAGGAGATTGTTTCCAAAAGGATCACTGAGGTGAGAGGTGAGGTTCTCAACTGGGCCTTCACCAGTGACATAGGCTTGAATGAAAAAGCCAAGCATTGCAAACATGGCCAGCCTTCCATTCTTGATCTCCTTCACCTTCAACAAAGCAGCCTGGTCTGGATCATTGGCCAACCCCAATGGATCAAAAGGTCCACCAGGGTGAAGCTTGTCCTCCAAATTCTGTAACAAAATTTAAAGACATTGATCAATAATATAAACGTGGTTGAAAGTAATGAGAAAAGATAAGGGATTCATGACGTCTATGGCCCCTAATAGAGTAAAATGGCACACCGGGATTCATGCAAACGACTCCAATTAATTGGAATAAAGCTATGACGATGATCATCGTTATCATCAATACCATATAAGAGCTTTTTGCCTTTTTTTGTTCTTTTAATTTTTTATTTTTTTGTCCCATATCCCCCCCCATTTAAAGTTGAACCCTATAGTTCTAATAAGAATGATAAGAATAGGGTAGAGTTTAGGTGTGTCTAAGGGTAGGTGTGTCAGAGGATGCACCTATTATAGTGTGTTCACCCTCCCAAATCTATGTGGGAAACGAATATTGAGAGAAGGATTTTAGATCCGATATTTTGGAATATGATCATCTACGCCACTGTGGTCATGAATATGAAAAAATAAGATTTTAAGCCCTATAAATGATTAGTTTAGTAATTTTTCAAGGCCTTTCATTTTAATTCTTTAAAGATCATAAGATCCACAGTGTTTTTAGAGTTCCAAATTCATAGATTTGAGGCGGAAATGGATTTACAATACTTTGGAATGTGTTTTGGACAATAAGTCATCTAAAAACCAGTACAAAAGAATGATTCAGCCAGCTCACCAAATATTTTCCATATAAGTGTTTGCTTTTAATTAATTTCGGACCTTGGTAGGAATAGAACACTCAGATGTTAAGTTGGTGGCTTACCACCCTGACCACCCAGCCCAAAGGCACTCCCACTTTTCAATATTAGTGGTTATTGCATTTTTTTATTAATCTCTCATAAAACTACTTCTTGTAGTAATGTTTCTTTTAGTTTACGGTTGCAAATGGTGTTTTTATTAGGGTTGTATATATGATATTGTTTGCCTTCCTTCAGTACAGTCATAATTACTCTTATTCGCCAAATGTAAAATCTGGCAGCTGGTGTTGTACTTTACACAATTCAAAAATATTTTCTCAAACTTTGAGTTTGGTCGATAAAACATACCTGTCTGTCCGATTTCACATTTGATAATTGGGGGATGCTGACCTTTTTATTGAAAGGCCAGCCATCTAAACTGTATGCTTTCTTGTTTTTAGTTTAGTAATGGCACTAATATTTCTTTATTTTACTATTGCATAAAATAATAATAATAAATGGATACAATTTATATAAGGCAACAACCTCATTTATAGAAGTAAGATTGCAGCATTCTACGCTACCTATTTTAAGTTGACTATATAGATTTGACAAGTCATTTGAGACAACATCAAAATGTAGCACATCATTTAAGATCGTTTTAAATCTACACCATTCAATTAAAATAAACATTGTATATAACTGCAACTTTACTTCTACATGTAAAGTTACTTCTACATGTAAGGTTGAGTTCTCGTATAAACCTTCACATTGTATTTCACTGTTACTACTGCTAACATGACTATTCCTAATTTTATTTCTTTGAAAAATATTTATTTGGTTCAAGGGCATGGACTCAAACCCATTATCTTTTCCCTTTTCCATTGCTGCATACACTAACATGGAAACTTGGAATATAAATAAAATTAAGTTAAAAATAGAGCAGAGAGAAAGAATTACAAACCAGGACATTAGTGATTCTATAATATTCAGCTCCACCCAACAGCAGAACCTCAGCAATGACTGCTACAGCAAGATTGATGGGGATGTTTGCACCAAAGTATCTCAGTGTGTTGCCATCGAGAAGAAGAGCTCCAGTCTACAAAATTTAAAAAATTATATCAAAGTTAGAAAAGACAAATTAAAATTCACAAAACAATAATAGAGAGGACAATTTACAAAAAGAAAAGGAAAGAATGAAGACCAAATTTCAAAGTGAAAAAGTTAAAAACCATGTGAATATTTGCAAATGTCGATGTGTGTGTGTTAGAAAGAAAGACGGGAGGGGAGGGGAGGGGAGGGGGAGGGGGAGGGGGAGGGGGGAAGACCTTGAACCAGACAGCTTCAGGACCACAAGAGGCACCAAACTTGTTGAAGGCCTCAGGGATTATGAAACCGGCGGCACCCAGCATAGCCCAACGTGAGTGGATTAGCTCATAAGCTTGGTACCTGTGAATTACAAATCCAATTAGTTTTGAGTATTGGCTTAGTTTATCAATAATCCACAATTCACATGCGTGCACGCACATACACGCATTATATAGGGATTGTATACTAGGGGACTATGTATCTTTTATACAGGAGGTCACAATCATTCTAAGCCATTAGATGTGAAATCCATGTATTAAAAGTAAATGATCTCATTTAATGTATTTCCTATTCTACAAGGGGAAACAAAAATAACTCCTTTAGTAATTGATTTAGTCTCTAGAAATTGGAGAGAGAGAGAGGGGCATACTTGCTGAAGTTTTCTGGTTTCTTGCTCAATCCAAAAGGATCATAGCCATAGCTGCAAAAGAAATAGTAGTGAATAATGAATAATAAGATTTGGATAACTTTTCCTCTCTTATGTAAGTAAATACATGGAGAGCACAGTAATTTGAATCTAATTAAAAACAAATTATGTTGGATTAAATCTTACTCTCCGGGAACCTCTCCGGTAAGGTACTCGGGAACTTCGGATCTGTCCAAGAGACCCTCAGGCAAGAAAATTCTCCTATCGGGACCTAAAATTGAAAAAAATACAAAAAGAGGAAAGGAAAGGAAGTTAGGAAAAACAGATATAGAGAAAATCGCTGTATTTTGGTAATTTGGTTTTTTTTTTCTTTTTTCATTTCAATGTTTTTGATGCTTGAGAGCTGAGTCTGCCGATTTATTTTATATTGATAAGGAGAAAATATAAATGCACTAAAGTACTGTATATGTTATAATATACATATACATGTGTGTGTTTTTCTATTTTCTTCAACGCTTTTATAGCTCCCCAAGCGATAAAAATATTCATTTTTATTGATCACCAAGAAACCTTGAACTTGTTGGTAGGTAGACATGGAGAACGGAAACGGATACGGAAGCGGAAGCAGGAAGCAGGAGAGGATGGTATTTTACGTGGGGAAACTCACCATACCACTTGGCGAGCTCATCGCCAATCGGAGACACAGCTGCCGGCTTAGATTTCTGGGGCGCAGCCTTCTTCTTTGAGAAAAGGGCCACAATCTTGGAGGAGACTGAGGAAGAAGAAGGCAAAGAGGGCACAGGCGAAAAATTAAGTCGGTTTCCCAGCATTTCTGAGACCCCCAACGAGGAGGAGGCAGCCCCAGCTGTTAGAGAAGCCATCTTGATTGCCGGAAAGTTCGCCGGAATCTTACCTTTCCGATCAACTAATTCTTCTTTGTTTTAGGTTGTGGAAATGAGAAATGGATAGTGGTTCATATACTATGGAGTAAGAATGTAGAGAGTGAGAGCTCTGTTGAATTTTAATCTGGTGGTCGAGGAGGCGCCACATGTCGTGGTTGTGATTGGTGGACGGGGATGTGTAATCCCAAGTTGAGCTCTGATTGGGCAATGGTAATGACTTGGAAGATTATGGTGCTGAGATGGAGCGCTCATCACCATTGGATTATGTCTCCTTTGGATAAGTGGCTGATGTGCTGTTTCGGCCTCTTTCATTGATTTGGAATCCGTTTTGGGGCCCAGAATGTTTATCGAAGTTTTCAGTAACATTCGTTTTGCAAAAGATGCACCCCCTACCCCTATCATTGTGCGCATTTGCAATGGCATGCATGGCAACATACCCAACTCTAATACAAAACTTCTCCCTCTCTATGTCCACCAACACCCAACTCTAATACAAAACTTCTCCCTCTCTATGTCCACCAACACACAACTCTAATACAAAACTTCTCCCTCTCTATGTCCACCAACACACAACTCTAATACAAAACTTCTCCCTCTCTATGTCCACCAACACATGTAATACAACCATCCCACACTTTAATTTAATCTCTCTCACTCCACACTTCACTCTCTCTCCATGTACATTTACCCCGAATTCCAGTTAAATCTATCTTTCATCACAATCATTCTCTCCCTCTCTCAAAAAAACAACTTAAAAAAAAAAAAAAAAAAAGGGCTCCGGACCCTATTTTATTCATAGTAAATCACCATCCAAAACCCATCAATCACGATTGTATGATATTATTTAAATTTTAATAACTATTTTACACATCATATTAACATCAAAATTTGTGAGTGAGTCCTTTAGGAAAGGGTACCTTAATAAAATATAACAAATAATTCAAATGAAAAAATGACTAAATTATCCCTATAAATATTTTTGATGTATTTTCATCGTTCTTTTTTTGTAATTTTTAATATTTATATCGGTACAATATAGTTAGATATACCCACCAAATTTCCAAAAAATCTGATTTGCAAACAGTGTATTAACCATGAACAAAGTACTTCAATCACTTAAAAGTGTTGTCATTGTTTTTTATAGCGATTAACCACGTGCACACGCACATGTAAGTTATTTTAGAATACACCACACTAATAAATATAGAATTTATTACTCCAAAATATTTGACCCTAACCTTTTCCAAATTAAAAAATGACCTTTGATTATAAATTAGTTCATATATTTTTTGGAAGGCATTTTTTTTTTTAAATCCCTCCAAAAAGACGAAAAGGCTCATATATATTTGCATAGAGTAATGATCCTACAAGACCCTCTTTCGCCCATATGTGTAAAACCCCAAAAGATCACTATTAAAATTGACACGGATCTCTTAAAAAGTTATCACATAAATGTAAGACTTAACTTTTCTATAGATCCTTGTCAAATTTGATGATGATCTTTTAGGTTTTAAAGTCCTACACACATGAGTGGAGGGTCTTACATGATCATTTCTCATCTACATATATCCTAAGTTCTCCCTTAGTATGGCAAGCTATATTTAAGCTACTGTTCTGATTTCCAAACATCAACAACTTGGCATTTATTATCAAAATGGGTGATATGGTCATTACAGAAAAGGCCTCTCTCCCTCTCTAACTAATGAGAATGCAAAAGGCCCATGTCTCTCTAGCTAGACATGTTTCATCTTTTCCATTTATCAATTTGTTTTGCAGTTGCATCGATAAGCTTCTTAGTATTCAACGCCAGTTCATCTACCAAAGCTCCAATTTGCTCCCTGAAATTCAAGAATCAAGTGGAATAAACAAAACAAATATAAGAAAGCAAAAGCGCGACACCACACAAACGAGGTGTTCCACTGCCCAAAACAGGGGAGTTTAGATTGATATAGACCTCTGCCCCAAATTAACTGCCCCTGAAATATTGACTATGCAGGTCGTTAAGAAACAACCAAATCTAAAGTTTTAGGAGCTTAAAATCAATTTCTCCT